TTCTCGTGCAGCGATATGCTAAATTTCCCGACAGACACAACACCCCAATCATTGTGAAAACGAAACTCTGTTAAGTGTTCCGTTTTTCAAACAGCAATACTTACCTAGAGAAACGTTTTATCTTCTTATCCAATCGTAACCTCTGATATTTTTCATTGTTCCAGTTTAAAACCGAGGAAAAGTTTAGTTATTTTGCATGGCAATTCACATTTATATGAGCAAAATTTCGATGGAAAATACCTTTATCGAAACGCCAGCCACGGGTAATTCAAAGGCTCTCTCAAAAATCTCTTCTAAAAACTTAAAATAGAAACTCTGATACTACTAAATATGAACAAAATCATATTTCGATGAGGAATTTAATTTGCCGTGAAGAAAAGGCTCTCACAGAAACTTCAAAAGCTCTGTACTCTGCATATCCAAGAATTATAAAACAACGGTAGGTTTCTCTCTAGTGAAAGTCACACGGAATGAAATAAAAACATGAAAAGACGTCAAACAGTCGCTTGCATGTTTGCGCGTATGTCAAAAATCCGGATTCTCTCAGAACTGTTATTATCTGTTGTTGTTATTATCTTCTCGCGCTGTTGAGCTTCACCGGTTTTACCGGTCTGACGTTTGTTCGATGGTGACAAATTCAGTAGGCTTAGTACACGCAAAAATTACAATCGAGTCARCGGTTTCCACTGGCTTGTACCGTACTATCCCCTGCCCCACGCGTGATCAAACCGTACTATGAAGAGTTTGTATATGGATCGAGCGATGTGAGAGTGTGTGTGGATTTGAAATTTGATCGCAAACTTTCAAAACTATGTCTCTTTTCTTTATATCTGTGAAGAGCTACAATAAAGTTATCTGCTGTCCATTTTCTGTCTTTCTTGCACTTTTTAACACAATTTGAGCATAGACATAGTTTATTTTACTTGGTCGTTCACTTAGCTATGGTAACGGTGCGTTCCATAGACTTCATAAGGCAGAGTCTACAGGACGCACGTGCTAGTACAAGTGCGCCAAGAAAACAAAGTAAAAGTGTACATTTTGGGAAAAAACACTAAACTAAACTAACCAAGATTATATAAGGTAGGTAAGGTCTGCATATACGAGCCAAGTGGCCCATCAGGCCGGAGCTTATACCGGTTTCTGTAGCATGAAGCGACTAGGAGTATTTCTACTCCCCCCTGGATGGGATGCTAGTCCATCGCA